ACGTTTCGGTCACAACATCAGGCGGAGACGATTACCTCCTTTTAATTATTTTAAATTTTTATAAATTTTATTTTCTACCTACGTGGAGACGATGACCTCCTTTTCATTATTTTTTATTTTATTTTCGACCTACGTGACTTTACCGAAAGAACCAGAGAACATGAATCCCTGCAGTCACGAAAGTTTGAAGTCTAAATGTGACTTGCATAAGGGTGCATGCGAGCGAACCGCATTAATTGATGACATCTGCCGTCGCGTTCAGCGGAAGCCGACATCCCTGCCGTTAGCCGCGGTCATCCATTGGTCAGCTACCAAAGGGGGTTAATTGCTGTCAAGTTCAGACGGCGACCTCGACGCGCGATTGGCTGCCTGCCTGGGGCTCGTTGGATTGGTGGGGCGTGAGTGGAACGCGACGATTGGCTGAATGGGATGAAAGACTCAGGCCCGGGAAATGGAGGGGTGGGGAGGGACATAGGAGACCCATTTGTGGATGGAGGGAGGGATTGACCGGTTGAAGGGAAATATTCGGTCTGGAAGGTTTAAGAAGCCATGGTTGGCTACGTACGGTGCGAAAGAAGATCAGCATACATGTGTGCAACGACACGGCCGAGTCCTTTGAACTTGCAGGGTTATTGCTGTCATTATTGCTACTGCACAGCGATGATCTACCGTATGTCGAGCGATTCCTCGTTTAACTGTGATTAATAGTGCCGCGTTGAGCGAAAACGCGTTAGGCAAGAACAATTCCCCCGTAAGAAAAGACGTAAAAGATACCATACAGTCTATGGGCAGTGTTGAGTCTATGGGCAGTGTTGAGTCTATGGGCAGTGTTGAGTCTATGTGCAGTGTTGAGTCTATGGGTAGTATTGAGTCTATGGGTAGTGTTGAGTCTATGGGCAGTGTTGAGTCTACGGGCAGTGTTGAGTCTATGGGTAGTGTTGAGTCGATGGGCAGTGTTGAGTCTATTGGCAGTGTTGAGTCTATGGGTAGTATTGAGTCTATGGGTAGTGTTGAGTCTATGGGTAGTGTTGAGTCTATGGGTAGTAAAAATAGGGTGTTTCCCCTTTTTTCTGGCAACAAAACTGAAACCTTTTTACAAGGATTAATGTCACTGCATTAACCACAATACCTGCAGTCAAAATGCAAACAAAAAAAACATACTATGATAATATATGATGCATTGTCCTTGAAACTGATTGGTCCACACCAATGGACGGCTTTCTTTTGAGCCTCGACCCAATTGGTGCTCGACCAGATGACGCCTTTTGCGATTAAATTTGGCGTCATCTGGTCACAGTTCCTATGATCACTGTCACATTGCTTTTACAGCTTTATTTTGGTGATTTCGAAAACGTTTTGGTTTAGCCATGTTTGTTTGTTGTAGTACAGAGTTAGACTGATAACTTTAATCTAAATTGTCTAATGGTTGTTATTGTTTGACTTGCATCCCACTGGGATTTTTGGCACACAGCGTTGATATACGGTGCTTTTTCTGGAAGACTTTGCTGTTTTTTCCTGGATTTTTCTGTTTGCGCGTGGTCACTTTAAGATGTTTCTTGTCCATGTTTTTGTTTGTTGCGTTTGCACCCGAATCAAGAGCCGAATGGCTCACAGGGCGATACCAAAATAAATGGAACTGAAAACTGAAAAAAACTGAAAGATATGGGTCCCAGTTTAACACAAAACTCAATAATACGCAACACGAGATCATCACCAGCGCCATCAAATTAACACTGTTGGCTAAGCACGGTGCGAAAGAAGTTCAACATTTACATACATACATACAACGATGTCAATGATTAGGATATATATAATATAGAGCGTCCTTTGCCTACGAACATCCGGCAAGTCAGTAGCATTGGTTCAAGGAGGCCTGCTCAACATTTCCACGTGATAAGCCACTTCATTGAGCTATCAATTGTGGCCAGGTCGCTTCTGAAGAACAGCTGTATGAGGTCAATGGGCCTTACCTGGTAGAAAAAAAAAAAAACGTGGTTTATAGTTTAAAAAAAGAAAATAAGCAACATTGTTTGAGACTGTGCTGATGAGACAATATAATGTCAAAGCCAGTCCAGAGTTTTGCAAGTGTCACGCACATGCCACTTTAATGCACTCCCAGAAGGGAGGCTGTGGCGGCTGAATGTTTTTTTTTTTGGTCGCAAACAAAATACCATTATTCCTGATGCGAGTTCGAAAGGCGTGCCATTGTTCCGCTCATTTTTTTTTGTTGTCGCCAATGTTCTCCCCGGACGACGCCGCCGATGGCCGTCTCGGGGAGAGATGTTTTCTCTCCCCGTCAAAAGTCGTGAGAAGATTATGAAGGGGGGGAAAAAAACCCCCCAGTTAGCTGCGACGATGCCTGGTCGGCCCTTGGGAGTGAGCGTGCGCGTGTGTGCGCGTGTGTGCGCGTGTGTGTGTGTGCGTGTGTGCGTGTGTGTGTGTGTGCGTGTGTGCGCGTGTGTGTGTGTTAGTTTGCGCGTGGGGGCGGTCGTGCAGCGGTTAGCGCCACGCCGCGCTACCAACCCGGCAACCCGAGTTCGACTCCTGCTCACGGCCAACACCGGTGACGTTTATCTGAACCGATCCTGGGCCTCTCCTAGGTCGACTCAGCCTCGAAAGAGTACTTGGTGCGGTGTATAAGCATCGCTAGTAGGGAGACAAAGGCGGCCGGGCGTGGTTGCTGGCCCACCCACCCCCTCGTGTGCTGAGCCGACCTTCATAGGTATAGGCTATACGGGGGACCTTTGTCTCTGTGGGGTGGGGGGTAGCGGTAGCGTAGCGGCAAACGCACGGCACTACAGACGCCTCCACCCGAGTTCGATTACCGCTCATGGCCAAAAAACACACAGCGGTGAATATCTGAACCGGTGCTGGGCCTCCCCCTAGGTCGAGTCAGCCTTGACCCGTTCCCATTCCGATGACGTACACGCACGTACACACAGGCCACCGGAATGGAATCGGAAGAAAAACCAAAATCGCGTAACTTCATCGGTAGCGCGGCTCCCGCAAGGCGATGGCGGGAGGGCGCGCGGCACAACAGCGCCGCTACGCCACCAATCTCAATACAATCAACGCCGATCCGAGATTCAGCGGTGAACGGGGACAGCCCTCCACCAGCAACGGTCTCGGAACGGGAAAGGAGTTAAACGAGTGTCCGGGTGCGCCGCGCCGGTGCTCGCTCATAGCATTTGCCGCAGGAGTCTGTGTGGGCTACACGTGGGGGGGGGGGGAGGGACAAAACAAAGATAAAGATCCCCCGTGTAGCCTCAACAGACTTGTTGGGGCAAGTGCCGTTAGCGAGCAGCACCTATGAAGGCCGGAACGGCACACGAGGGGGTGGGTGGCCAGCAACCACGCCCGGCCGCCTTTGTCTCCCCCAGTGACGATGTGTTTGCACACCGCAGCAGGAACTAATTTGAGGCTGAGTCGACCTAGGGGAGGCCCAGGACCGGTTCTGATAATCGTCGCCGATGTTGGGGCGTGAGCGGGAATCGAACCCGGGTCGCCGGGTTCGTAGCGCAGCGCGCTGACCGCTGCACCGCCGCTCCGCGGAGGGACACACAAACACACCAAACACACTACACACACACACACCAAACACACTACACACACACACACACCACACACACACCATACACACCACACACACACCACACACACACACACCACACACACACCATACACACCCCACACACACACACCACACACACCACACACACCACACACCACACCACACACACACACACCACACACACACACACCACACACACCACACACACACACCACACACACACACACCACACACACACACCACACACACCACACACACACCACACACACCACACACACACCACACACACACACCACACACACACCACACACACCACACACACACACCACACACACACACACCACACACACACCACACACACACACCACCCACACACACCACACACACACCACACACACACCACACACACACACACCACACACACACCACACACACCACACACACACACATCACACACACACCACACACACCACACACACACCACACACACACCACACACACCACACACACACCACACACACCACACACACACTACACACTACACACACCACACACACCACACACACACCACACACACCACACACACATACACCACACACACACCACACACACACACCACACACACACACCACACATCACACACACACCACACACACACCACACACACACACCACACACACACATCACACACACACCACACACACACACACCACACACACATCACAACACACACACTACACACACACATCACACACCACACACCACACACCACACACCACACACACACCACACACATCACACACACACCACACACACTACACACCACACACACACCACACACACCACACACACCACACACACCATACACACCACACACACACACCACACACACCACACACACCACACACCACACACCACACACACCACACACACACACATCAAACACACCACACACACAACAGACACACACCACAAACACACCACACACACACCACACACACACACACCACACACACACACCTCACACACACACCCATCACACACCCCACACACACACACCCCACACACACACCACACACACACCACACACACACCACACACACATCAAACACCACACACACACACCACACACCACACACACCACACACACACACCACACACACACACCACACACACACCACACACACACACACCACACACACCACACACACACCACACACACACACCACAAACACACACACTACACACACACTACACACACACACCACACACACAACACACACACACATCACACACACCACACACACACCACACACACAACACACACATACACCACACACACACCACACACACAACACACACACACATCACACACACCACACACACAACACGTCTGTCCGTGTCCTTGCGAGCGATCGCTGTGTCGTACCTTGGGCAGGGAGGCTCGCGAGCCTGAGCTCTGTGTCGTCATGGTGAGCACCGTGGTGATGCCCAGCGCCACGCGCGCAGGAGCCGCGTCCATGTTGATCCAGAAGGAGACCCAGGAGAGGATGACGATGAGCAGGCTCGGGATGTACATCTGGATCAGGTAGTAGCCCATCTGCCGCTCCAGGTGAAACTTCGCTTCGATGCAGGTGAACTTCCCTGGAGAGAGAGGGGAAAAGGTTCCCACGGAAACATTCTTGGTTTTAAACTAAAAGCTTTCGTGACTGCAGTAATTCATATTCTTAGCTCTTTCGGTAAAGTCACGTTGAAGGGAAACAATAAAATAATAAAATATGTATAAAACAATAAAAAAAATTCGTTCATGAGGCCATCCACATACACAAGCACGGAGACAATTTCAACCGAGAAGATGGATTCTGGCTTAGCAATCATTGGAAAGATTTGATAAACCATTTCAGGTCTTAATTGATTGTTCACGCTTACAGTGGCTTTCAGACAGCATACATTAATTTTTTCGTCTCCCCCCTCCTCTTTTCAGAACATAGATGGACTAGTCCTTCTAAATAAACTGTCAAATCGCTGCGCGTGGCGCTGACGTTTTTTTTATAAATAAATAAATGCACCGTTTAAAACTAAATACATTAATGCAAACCGCCACACCTGATGACGACCGTTTGTGTTATGGTCGAAACGTCGTGAGAATTTTTATTGCTTTATATATATTTTATTATTTTATTGTTTCCCTTCAACGTGACTTTACCAAAAGAGCTAAGAATAAGTATAAAACGATGTCAACAATGTTTTTTTTTTTACCAGGTAAGGCCCCACCGAGCTACAATATAACTCTTTTTTCAGAAGCGACCTGGCTATCACAAAGGACAGCTCAACGAAGTGGTTTATTCATTGGACCTCCTTTGCCAGTACCAAAAATATAATAATAGGGTTTTTCCCCTTTTTTTTCTGGCAACAAAAATGAAACCTTTTTTACAAGCATTCATGTTACTGCATTAACCACAATACCTGCAGTCAAAATGCAAAAAAAACATACTATGATAATATATGCATTGTCCTTGAAACTGATTGGTCCACACCAAGGGACGGCTTTCTTCAAAGAAAGACTGCAGGTATTGTGGTTAATACAGTAACATGACTCCTTAGAAAAAGGTTTCAGTTTTGTTGCCAGAAAAAAGGGGAAAAACCCTATTATTACGAAGTGGTTTGTCATCATCGCATGGAAATTTATAGCAGCCCAAAATACTCTTAAAACCGCGACGTTCGTTCTAAACGTGGAGGTGGAAAAAAAACGGAGGACCGGGAGAAAAATCCACACGACCACGGGGAGAGAGAGACACGCAAACTCCAAACTTACAGACGTCAGGACCGGGATCGAACCCACGACTTCGTGGATACCGGGCGAGGTAGTTAACATCTCGCCACCGTGGCGCTCCTTTAATTCCCCCAACCTCCTTAGCAGGCCATCGGCGAGACGTCAAAAGTTCAGGCGCAGCATTGAGAGCGCTGCACCCGGAAGACAATATACCTCGCGACTAGAAATACCGCACATTAAGAACGGCAGCAGCCGCGGCTGAAGGTGATTCCATTCTATTCTACTTTAGATTTATAAAGTGCCTTGCGCCAAGGAAGGCGTGCATTGAGGCCACTTGAAGTGTTGAATGCTTGCTGACAGGAGGTCACGGGACAGTCCCAAATGGTATGGGTTAACTGCCGGAGATGAAATTGCTGCCTGGGACTGCTATGGGTGGTCCATGGTCTGTGTGGCAACACCGCAATCGCACTGCGGTTTGTCTTTAACACGTCGCTATTGGTCTCTCTCGGTCTCTATGTGTCTCTATGTGTCCTGTATATTTGGCGTTTGAACGTTCTCCCCGTGGCCGCGCAAGGGCAGCCATTTTCTGACTTGGTTGGTCTCACACAAACACACACACACTTACAAATATCAAGGATCCCCGGTTGGAATTTGAAAGATAAATGTACGGCTGCAGCCAGCTACATTTAACCCAGAGGCCTGTTCAGCCGCGCAGCGGCGGCCACGCGTGATTCAGCACTGCCGAGGTAACAATGGTGTTCGCGTGGCACTCCCTTCCCCGCGCGTGTCGAAGGGGAGCCGTGGCCTGGCTCACCGGGAGAACTCGCGACAGCGAAGTGTGGACCCCACTTACTTCATCTCCGTGGGATCGAGTGTTGCCCCCTCGCACGTGCGTGAGGAGGGGTGGGGCGGGGGGTGTTTCCTCTGGGTGCTCTGTTTTTTTTTGTTTTTACCACATGGAGGAACTCGTCCGTTGGCCGACAACGCCGTCACGTGTATAGAGGGCCGCAGGGCATGGGGTGGTAAATTTTGGCAACTGAATGACCACGTGGCTGCTTTCCAACATCCAGATGTACAAACATAGACACAACTTCGACCGAGAGGATGGTTTTAAATTGATGCAACCGTTGGAAAGATGTCATCAACCAAGTCAAATTTTAGCTGCCTTGTAATTGTACGGCCATTGCCATTTCTTCCAATGAGTTGTACTCGCTCTCGTACAGTGCACCACCGCTTCCCCCGAACCCCCTGCAGCATAACAAAAGGCGGCTTAATTTAGCCCCTCCCCCTCTCCACCTACGTCACTTCCTGGCTCCTCCCCCCCCCCCCCACCTTAACCTGCCTATATAATCTCGGGTGTCTCAGAGCTCCTCACTTGACGCAGCTTTTTTTGCTGTGACTGTTCCACCTGAAGACGGAAGCTTGCGTTGCCTCCTAAAACGTCGTGATTTAATTTAGTTGTTATCATTTATTTTATTTTACCTGCGTGACTTTACCAAAAAAAAACAAAGAGCACGCTTTCCAACTTGTCTGCGATTCCTCCTCGCCTCTCTCTCTCTCTGCGAGATCGAGCGAACGCTCTGAGACAGCGCATCATGCAGTTGAAATTATTCTACGAAATACAGGCATATAAATCGCGCGCCCGAGAATGTGAAATGGCAAGATTTTAATTTTGTCGCCGGGGATTCTTCGGCCCCCATTTTCAACCCCCGGTTTCCTTCCAAACTCAAACTCGCATCAAACAAACGTAGACTGCCATGCACCTCAGAACCGAGAGGGAAGGGAAAAAAATAAATATATATGCGTAACAACGTGGATTGTTGCGGTGCACGACAGTGAGAGGGGGTGACGACAGCTTAGGGAGGCGGGGCCCTTCGTCCGGCAGCTCGATCGATTCGTGTCTGATGAATCGCGAACAACGGCAGCGCGAATACCGGTGTTGTAGTGCTTGGTGCAGTAGAGCAAGTCCTGCTCGTCCTTGAGGGCGAACTGGGGCAGGGTCAGCCCCTCGGCCACCTGGACGGCACCCTCCGATTTCCACTCGAAGATCAAGTCGTTCATCGTGTATCCAACTGCGGGGACGCACGCAACGCACGACAACGCACGGCTGATGCCAGACACAAAAGTCCCCCCCCCCCCCCACCCCTCCAGCCAGCCCCGCGTAGCCTTCAACAGAATGTTGGCGGGCGAGTTGCACCTACGAAGGTCGGCGCGGGGCGCGAGAGGGCCCGACCGCCTTCATCTCGGCGCCGCTCGTGCTTACACACCGCACACGGGTAATCATTTAAGGCTGAGTAAACCTTGGGGGGCGGAGCCCCAGGGGCCGGTTCAGATATTCGCCGATGTCATTGGTCGGGTACTGGAACTCGGGGTCACCGGGTTGGTAGCGCAGCCTGCTAACCACTGCACCAGCGCCTCCGATTTTCACGGTTGGCTAGGCACGGTGCGAAAGGAGTTCAAGGTACACACATATGCAACAAAGATCCCCCGTGTAGGCTTAAGTGACCGTTGGGGCATGCGCCGTTAACGATTAGCACCTATGAAGACTGACACGGAACACGAGGGGGTGGGTGGCCAGCACCAGGCCCGACCGCCTTTGTCTCCCCATTGGCGATGTTTACTACACACACCGCACCGGGTACTCATTTGGGGCCGAGCCGACCTAGTGGAGGCACAGGACCGACTCAGACAATCGTCACTGGCGTTGGGCGTGAGCGAGAATCGAACTCGGGTCGTCGGGTTCGTGGCGCTGAGCGCTAACCGCTGCACCGCCGCTCCCCACTCGCCCGCACACACACCACACGCCTGCTTTGGGTCATCATAAGTACAGTATTTATTCAGCATTCATAACGCGACTTATTGTCCAGGAATGTTTTTTTTGTTTGTTTCGGGTTTTTACAAAGTTTATTTCAATCACGTAGCTATTTCGTTTATTTTGCATACAGCACAGGCCTTCTTTTAATTGCGATGTGTCTATCTTTGGTTGACGTGTACCCAACCGCATTGTTTAGGTCAAGGCCCCGAGTTTTCAATATCACGGTTTTGGCTTTCGCGGCACTTTCCACGAACGTGACCCACCGCGATATTCAAGGGCCTCCCGTGCAAGCACACCAAATACCAAAGCCTGCCACTCGCCACCGAGTGACGGTGCCGTCACCGCGGCGCTTTGTGCCACGCCGTGTTTCACTTTAAGGCCACGTGCAGTGTCGAACGCCCGCTGGCAGGAGGTCACGGGACAGCTCCAGGTGCCACGGGTTGACCGACTTAAGATGTGCCGCGTACACGCACACACACGCGCGCGGACACGGACGTCCCGCGACGAGGGGAAACTCACAGCTCTCCAGCTGCATGGCGCACGTCTGCACGTCCATGGGGAAGTTCTTCAGGTCCATGGGGCAGGAGAGAGTCAGGGTGAGTCTGCGTGTGCACACAAACGCGCATCCCAAGAGACAACGCGTGAGCACGGGCGCGGTGAAATTCTTTCGCGTTGTACGTCGACAACACACCGCACCGGGCAATCACTCGAGGCCGAGTCGACCTAGGGGAGGGCCCGGGGCCGATTCAGATCATCGTCACCGGTGTCGGCGACGAGCGAGAATCGAATTCGGTCCGCCGGGTTCGGAGCGCAGCATAGCGCTAACCGCTGCACCGCCGCTCCCCACTTCCTCCGCGCCGTATGTAACAACAAACTAAACACGTGACAGCAGTTCTGAAGAAATGCGTTTTCAATCGAGATGATTTAAAAGTGCACTATTGTAGCTCCAGCGAGGTTCCTAACATCGGAAGGAGGAGGGCCTCCAGACGGCCGCAGAAACGCTCCTCTGAGAGCGCCGCAGCGACAATGCGGTGACATCCGTCTCGGTTCGATGGCCGGGCCCCCCGGACCCCCAAAAGCCGCCGGTGCGGCGAGGGCGACCGGGAAAGACACGCCGGGCGTCACCCAGCGGGCCTTGATTTTCAACCGAAAAAAATCGGACCGCAGGCAAGCTGCGGCCTACGGTAAAATTCACGGCACGGCGGAGTTTTCGTTCGCGTTCATCTCACTACGTACTCAATTCGTGTGACGGCCGTCAATCAAAACTTGCTTCGTTAAGGAGCCTTCGTTAAACCCGAGGCCACCCGCGCATTGCATTGCCGTTCATCACAACCAACGCAGAGGCCAAGGGGTCAGAAAAGAAAAAAATACGAAATCCTTAAATTTTGATGTAAAGCTTTCGTGACTGCAGTAATTCATATTCTTAGCTCTTTCGGTAAAGCCACGTTGAAGGGAAACGATAAAATAATAAAATATATATAAAACAATAAAAAAAATTCTCACGACGTTTCGACCATAACACAAACGGTCATCATCAGGTGTGATGATGTTTCCCTTCAACGTGGCTTTACCGAAAGAGCTAAGGACAAAATCCTTGAAATAAAAATAATTCGAATAGCTTTGGCCAAACGTTACAACCGTTCCACGCTTACGATCCAGGCCTGACTTGGCTTTCTCGCATGCCACTGCTGCTGGAAGGGGCCTGCATTTGATTCGATTTGATTTGAAAAAGGCTCCCCCCCCCCCTCTCCCTTCACTGACAGTGGGGGCGGGGGGAAGGGGGGGGTTAACATGACGGTGATGCGTTTTGGCTGCTTCATCAACAAGTCAATCTGGACCAGCGCCTGTGGAATTATACCAAAAAAAAAATCGCCACAGCCCATTAGAAACCAGCACCCCCAGCCCAGACAGCCCCTTGCAGCAACGGCGAACTAATAAACGTTGCCCACGAGGCAGCTCTGACTGCAGCGCAGCGTTTTCTCTCAACCGCCCCACCAACAGCTACACCCGAAGAGCTAAAATTCCAGCATTCATCATCATCAACAACAGCCATGATCTGTATACTGCAGGATGAAAACTCTCCCTCCATCATCGCCCCACCTCCCAGAGTCTTGCGATGCCACAAATCCTGCTCGCTCCTCCTGCGCACACCGGAAGATTCCATCGCTCCATCTCCGCGACAGACGTCCGTCTCATCCGGGGGTGGGCGCGGGTTTTCCCTCCTTCGGCTACCGCTCCTCCGCTAGTCTCGACCATCGGGTCATCATCCCCACCAGGGGTGTGTCGTGGGCCCGTCGCAAGCCCCCACTCGCCGGGCTTTAATGATCGATACGGTAAGCAATTGTTTTAACAAAAAAAAAATTAAAGGTGCTTTTTTATTTTTGGTTGGGTTATATCGCGTGAATGCGAACGTGTTGGTAACCCGCGCACACCGCCGCCCGACGCAGCCAATCAGTGAAACTTGTGTCACGTAAAACAAAACGTGTTCAATTAGTTACTGACGTGCCGTGTGTTGGAGCGTAGAACCCACGAACATTCAATTGAGTCCTCGAATTGTGAACGTTGCACCGATTTAAACTCAGGATCTTTATTTGTCCAACGAGCTACACATATCCTTCTCACGGATGTCTAATGAGGGGCACATGGTGAGCACGGGACAACAACAATACAGAAACACGACCATGAGTTTCGATTTAAAGCTTTCGTGACTGCAATGATTCATCTTCTTTGGTTCTTTCGGTAAAGTCACGTAGAATGAGAATAAAATAATAAATTGATAAAATAAAATAACACAATAATATTCTCACGACGTTTCGGCCACAACACAAGCGGCCTTCATCAGGTGAAGGGACGAGACTGTCTCACTCCAGCGCTGTCCTACCAGACAGTCTCGCCCCTTCACCTGATGAAGGCCGCTTGTGTTGTGGCCGAAACGTCGTGAGAATATTATTGTGTTATTTTATTTTATCAATTTATTATTTTATTCTCATTCTACGTGACTTTACCGAAAGAACCAAAGAAGACGACCATGAGTGCAACGGAATGGAAAGGCACGACGCTTCCGCTGGCGATTACAGCAACCAGCGTCGTCAGGCAATTTGCCAGAATTGTGAAGGGCTCGTCAATATGCCGCCGTTCACTTCCTCTCAAATTGTTGAGTGATTCCCGGCACGCACACAGCAGCAATACACACGGCATGCACACAGCACACGAACAGCAGCAATGCACACAGCATACACACAGCATACACACATCAGCAATACACACAACATAGACACAGCAGCAATACACACAGCATACACACAGCATATACACAGCAGCCATACACACAGCAGTAATACACACAGCATACACACAGCAGCAATACACACATCAGCAATACACACAACATAGACACAGCAGCAATACACACAACATACACACAGCATACACACAGCATACACACAGCATACACACAGCAGCAATACACACAGCAGCAATACACACAACATATACACAGCAGTAATACACACAGCATACACACATCAGCAATACACACAGCAATATTACACACAGCATACACACAGCATACACACAGCAGCAATACACACAGCATACACACAGCAGCAATACACACAGCATACACAAAGCAGCAATACACACAGCATACACACAGCATACACACAGCAGCAATACACACAGCAGCAATAAACACAGCAGCAATACACATAGCATACACACAACAGTAATACACACAGCATACACACAGCATACACACAGCATCAATACACACAGCATACACACATCAGGAATACACACAGCATACACACAGCAGCAATACACACAGCATACACACAGCATACACACAGCATACACACAGCATACACACAGCAGTAATACACACAGCATACACACAGCATACACACATCATCAATACACACTGCATACACGCAGCAGCAATACACACAGCATACACACAGCAGCAATACACACAGCATACACACAGCAGCAATACACACAGCATACACACAGCAGCAATACACACAGCAGACACACAGCATACACACAGCATCAATACACACAGCATACACACAGCAGCAATAAACACAGCATATACACAGCAGCAATACACACAGCAGCAATACACACAGCATACACACAGCAGCAATACACACAGCATACACACAGCATACACACAGCATCAATACACACAGCATACACACATCAGGAATACACACAGCATACACACAGCATACACACAGCAGTAATACACACAGCATGCACACAGCATACACACAGCATACACACATCATCAATACACACTGCATACACGCAGCAGCAATACACACAGCATACACACAGCATACACACAGCAGCAATACACACAGCATCAATACACACAGCATACACACAGCAGCAATACACACAGCAGACACACAGCATACACACAGCATCAATACACACTGCATACACACAGCAGCAATACACACAGCATACACACAGCAGCAATACACACAGCAGCAACACACAGCAGCAATACACACATCATACACACAGCAGCAATACACACAGCATACACACAGCAGACACACAGCAGCAATACACACAGCATACACACATCAGGAATACACACAGCAGCAATAAACACAGTAGCAATACACACAGCATACACACAGCAGCAATACACACAGCATACACACAGCAGCAATACACACAGCATACACACAGCATACACAAAGCATACACACAGCAGCAATACACACAGCAGCAATAAACACAGCATACACACAGCAGCAATACACACAGCAGCAATATACACAGCAGCAATACACACAGCAGCAATACACACAGCATACACACAGCAGCAATACACACAGCATACACACAGCAGCAATACACACAGCATACACACAGCAGCAATACACACAGCATACACACAGCATACACACAGCATACACACAGCAGCAATACACACAGCAGCAATAAACACAGCATACACACAGCAGCAATACACACAGCATACACACAGCATACACACAGCAGCAATACACACAGCATACACACAGCATACACACAGCATCAATACACATGGTTCATAGAATCATGGAAACTTTGGGGAGGGGGCAAGGGGGGGTGCATGGATCCCAGCGTGCATGGCACTTAGAGGAAGAGGGGAAGGCCCCCGAGGGATTGACACTTCTGGTAGATGCCAGCTGGCAAGACGGTATTGCCTCGTTATTCACGAACTTGCTATGTTCACATCCGGAACTCTACACTGGTAAAGTGATGAGAGATAAAGTGACGAGAGATAAAGTGACGAGAGAGATAAAGTGACGAGAGATAAAGTGACGATAGATCAAGTGACGAGATGAAAGTAAGTTAATTCATCAACTATTATTTAATATTTGTAATTATTTACTGTGTTATCATGATGATTTTCACGTATTTAATAGCTTATTTACGTACTTAGTCACGGTAATTCATTCAAGAAGGACGGGGTTTCGTCGGCCCAATATCATTGTCGGTGAAATGTGCTGCTTGCGGGCATCTCCGGGAAAGTAATAACCATGGAACGCTGTCTGTCATCGGCCGCGATTCCACCTGGGGGAACACAGCCACCAGCAATCTCGCACGGCACGCCTCTCCACCAGACCGCTCGCTGCACATGTGGCTGCACGTCGAGGCGCTGCACAATTCCCCAGCCAGCCGCGCACGGGAAAGGGGTAAAGACTGTCATCAAGCCTATGCCCCAACAGTGCGGGGCCTGTAGCGTATGCTGTAAAGGGGCCTTAAATAAATAAATATATAGAAACACCTTCTTTAATTCTTAGCATTAAATTCCATGCATTAAATTCTATGCTAATTCCTTTGTCAAGGGGTGCCTCTGCTGATGCGTATGCTTTAACTTTAACATAGCCATTTCTGTGACCAGTCACAAGCTAATCACTCAGCCATTTCAATGCTAAATTCTCCTGTTTGATTTGTACTAGGTGCCTCTGTGGATGTGTAGGCTTTGACTTTAACATAGCCATTTCTGTGACCAGTCACAAGCTAATCACTCAGCCATTTCAATGCTAAATTCTATGCTAATTCCTTTGTCAAGGCGCTTTGTTTCTTCTCACACAGCTTAAAGGTCGCGATCTGAGCGTGGCTTTGTTCGCTCCAGCGCTGTCCTCCAGACAGTCTCGTCCCTTCACCTGATGAAGGCCGCTTGTGTTGTGGCCGAAACGTCGTGAGAATATTATTGTGTTATTTTATTTTACCAATTTATTATTTTATTCTCATTCTACGTGACTTTACCGAAAGAACCAAAGAAGATGAATCTTTGCAGTCACGAAAGCTTTAAATCGAAATAAAAAAAACACGTTAATATTAAAACACGTACATTTCTTTTTCACTTGCATAGTAGAGTCATCGTGCTGTTTTCATCTGCGATACGGACCAGATAACACGACAAATCGCTAACCTCAAACACCCGCTCGTTCATATAAAAGTTGAAGGCAGTATAGTACTATAGTAATAGAGCAAGTGCAGAATCACTGAACCGGAATTGATAGCTTGAAAGTATTTAGCGCAGGGGGGGGGGGGCCTTAAAAGTGCGGGGCCCGTAGCATTATGTAGCTACTCGTGCTGCTGGGGTCATCCGGCACTGCCCCCCACCACCACCCCGGCTCCATTCTTGCCTAAATGCCATCGCTGAGAATCGGGGTGAGAATGTGGGGGCCGCGATGCCGTGCACCCGGCATCGGACAATGCATTTATTTCTGTGGCGACTCTGGCCACGTGGAAGTCAGCCTTACGTGAATGGGGGGGGGGGGCGTTCTTGAGCAGCCGGAGTAGCCGATGCTTAGCCACGCTTCGGCTACGTTCGCAATGCAATTGCAGAGAAACATTACATTTTTTCACGACGCATTCGTTCTCGGGGGGGGGGGGGGGGGGGTGGGGAGCAAACCATATTGGTTGTGGTGTATGCGTGTGCTTTGCAACAATGTTGAGATTTTTGTTTCAATCAAAGCACATGTGAAAATGTAAATAAACTTAGCGCAAAATGTGTACTGATATAACTAACGCCAGTTACGTTGTAACTAACGCCAGTCACGTTGTAACTAACGCTAGTTACGTTGTAACTAACGCCAGTTATATTGTAACTAACACTATTTATATTGTAACTAACGCCAGTTACATTGTAAATAACGCCAGTTACGTTGTAACTAACGGCAGTCACGTTGTAACTAACGCCAGTTACATTGTAACTAACACTATTTATATTGTAACTAACGCCAGTTACATTGTAACTAACGCCAGTTACATTGTAACTAACGCCAGTTACATTGTAACTAACGCCAGTTACATTGTAACTAACGTCAGTTACATTGTAAATAACGCCAGTTACATTGTAACTAACACCAGTTATATTGTAACTAACACTATTTATATTGTAACTAACGCCAGTTACATTGTAACTAACACCAGTTACATTGTAACTAACACCAGTTACATTGTAACTAACACCAGTTACATTGTAACTAACACCAGTTACATTGTAACTAACAGTAACTAACACCAGTTACATTGTAACTGACAGTAACTAACGCCAGTTACATTGTAACTAACGCCAGTTACATTGTAACTGACACCAGTTACATTGTAACTAACGCCAGTTACATTGTAACTAACGCCAGTTACAATGTAACTAACGCCAGTTACATTGTAACTAACACCAGTTACATTGTAACTAACGCCAGTTACATTGTAACTAACGCCAGTTAAAATGTAACTAACGCCAGTTAAATTGTAACTAACGCCAATTACATTGTAACTAACGCCAGTTACGTTGTAACTAACGCCAGTTACAATGTAACTAACGCCAGTTACATTGTAACTAACGCCAATTACATTGTAATTAACGCCAGTTACAATGTAACTAACGCCAGTTACAATGTAACTAACGCCAGTTACATCGTAACTAACGCCAATTAAATTGTAACTAACGCCAGTTACGTTGTAACTAACGCCAGTTACAATGTAACTAACGCCAGTTACATTGTAACTAACGCCAATTACATTGTAACTAACGGCAGTTACAATGTAACTAACGCCAATTACATTGTAACTAACGCCAATTACATTGTAACTAACGCCAGTTATACTGTAACTAACACCAGTTACATTGTAACTAACGCCAGTTACATTGTAACTGACGCCAGTTACATTGTAACTAATGTTAAACGAGTGAACATCTCGCCACGGTAGCGAGATGTTAACTACCTCCCCTGGTACACAAGAGGTTGTGGGTTCAACTCCGACTGACACCTGCAGTATATATTTGGAGTTTCCATGTTCTCCCCGTCCGTGGTCACGTGGATTTTTCTCCGGGTCCTCCGGTTTTCCCCTCCACATTTACAATCAACATCGCGCGTTCACAGCATTTGGCTGGTGCTACAAATTTGCACGCGATAAGCCACATTCCGATGGGCTATAATTTGTGAGCGTAAAGGTGGCCTCTGAGAAAGAGCTGTATGGCTCGGTGGCACTTGTAAACCGGTAAAATACCAAGAGAAAAAAATGTTAATAGAGTATAAGTTTTTTTTGGTTTTCATCCAAAAGTAAAAGACAATCATCAATGTCAAGGCAAGGGTAGGTTTTGAGTTCATGCTGTACGTTTGTTTATTTCTTTTCATCGATGAGCGGAAACCAGGGAACCCGGGGCGGGGGGGGGGGGAGGGGACACCCATTGCACAAACCGTGGAGAGAAACAGCAGCCTCTTTGGTTCTTTCGGTAAAGTCACGTAGTTGTAAATAAAACTAAAACGATACACGACGCTTCGCTCGCAACACAAAGCGCTCGCAACGTCGTGATTTGTGTCTCTTTTTTTCATTTCGTCCATATTTCTCGCTACGCGACGTCACCGGACGAACCAAATTTGCGTGGATTCCTGCCGTCGAGAAAAAGCCTCGAATCAAGATTCAGCCTCTGGACAGCAACCCGCAACGTTCAAGAACACAGCGTCGCGCATCGCCGGCCCGCGACCGGTCGGTTACCTGATGGAATAGAGCACGTTTCCGTTCTTGAAGATCCTCAGGAGCTTGTTGTCAGTGGTCACCTCGTGGAAGTTCGCCCCCTTCTCATTGGCAAAGAACAAATCGGGCTTCCAGATGGAGTCCAACATGGACGGGTCGAGGTCAAGGGAGTCGTCCGGGTACTCGGAGTAGGCGAGCCGCGGATCATTCCACTGCTGCCTCAGGAAGATGTTCAGTCGGTAGTCCTGACGGAAGACACGGGGGTCGGGAACACGCGCGATTAACCCTGATAGGCACGCGGGTCGCAGTTTAAGCTTGGCCTTGTCGTCGCCCCCCCCCCTTTCGCTCGCTCGCGAACCAGCCAAGGCTTGGCTTGGCTCACGGAAAATCCTGAGCGTTGGCTCACAAGGTGCACAGAGGGCACAGAGATACACGGTGTGATTGGCGACCTGGCCGCCAACGATAACTCGACCAAGGTGGCCCATCACGTGGAAATTCACAGCGGCCCAAAGGCTTTACATTATGAGACCTCCTTTGACAGCAACAAGATATGGGAATAGGTTTTAACCCTTTTAACTGCCAGTTAAAAGGGTAAAAACCTATTACTATGGCCCAAAGGCTCTTGAACGCGCGGACGTTGATTCTGAGCGCGGAGGGAAGGGGTGCGGAGGACCCGGAACACAAAAAATAATCAATGCGACCACGGGGAGAGAGAAGACACGCAAACTTCAAATATACAGGAGTCAAGGTCGGGACGGGAACACACGCACTCCTGAATACCTGGCAAGGTCGTTAACATCTACGCAGCCGTGGACGCTGAGCAGCTGACTCGAATGACCCGCTTCGAGCCAGAACCACGCCCGAGCTGAGTCGGGACGAAGAATCAGAATCGCAATCTTTACTCAGGCTGCAAGAGGAATCCGATGAGCCACTAAGCTCTTTCGCACAAACGTTCAGTACGGCTGGGGGTGGGGGGGGGGGGGTCAGGGTAACGGGCTCCTGAGACATTTCGCTGCAGTTTTAATTTCCACTTTTTTGTCGCTGCTGAAGAATTCAGATCGCAGCACTTGCCTCGCATATGTCCTCAAGGGCTATCAATGATTACTCACACTCGGGATTAATTGGATGCTTGCTGAAGAACACTATCATCATGCACGACCGACAGACGTCTGTTCCATGCGTGCGTTTTTAAATGCAATGCGCCGAGGCAAAATAAAAAAACGTCGTACAATATGCTGGTCTGTTATTTTTACGGTTGACACATCACTCGGATTGAGCTCGCGCCCTAACCGCATCAAGGAGTGGATGCCTGTCTGTCGTAGGTCGCAAAGGTTGCCTTTCGGAGGTGTTTTGAGAGTAAAACCAAAGAAAAAAAATGCCTCAAGGTCAATTCCACATCGAAGTCCCTCCAATTTCGTAAAACAACGGAGACGCCTTTTGACGTCTGTTTTATAGCGGGCCAGGCGGCGAGCGTGTATGGCGGGGCGGGATGACCTCAAACCGTGCACAGACGGCAATTAAAAACGAAACGCAGAGGGAAGCATAAATTACTTAAATTTACCTGCAACGAAGAACAGAGGAAGAAAAAAAACAAAGTCCCAATTGGATGGCCTCCCGATACCTCTGACTGTCCGATGAGCTCGGGGTGCCCATCAATCAACCGTGCGTGAACGTTTCATTATAAGAAGAAGAGGTAGGGGAGGGGAGGGAGGGAGGGGGGGGAGGGAGGGAGAGAGGGAGGGAGAGAGAGAGGGAGGGAGGAGAGGGAGGGAGAGAGGGAGGGAGGTCAGGGAGGGAGGGAGGGGGGGGAGGGAGGAGAGGGGAGGGAGGAGAGGGAGGAGAGGGAGGGAGGGAGGGAGGGAGGAAGGGAGGGAGGGAGGGAGGGAGGGAGGGAGGGAGGGGAGGGGATGGGAGGGAGGGAGGGAGGGAGGGGAGGGAGGGGAGGGGAGGGAGGGAGGGGGGAGGGGAGGGAGGGGAGGGAGGGAGGGAGAGAGGGAGGGGGGGAGGGAGAGAGGGAGGGCGGGAGGGAAGGGAGGGAGGTAGGGGATGGGAGGGGAGGGGAGGGAGGGGAGGGGAGGGAGGGAGGGAGGGAGGGAGGGGAGGGAGAGGAGGGAGGGAGGGAGGGAGGGAGGGAGGGAGGGAGGGAGGGAGGGAGGGAGGGAGGGAGGGAGGGAGGGAGGGAGGGAGGGAGGGAGGGAGGGACAAAGTGTTGAGATGTACGAGAGGACTGAACTGCTGTGTCCAAGATAAATTAAATGACGCATTACATGTGTTCATTTTTATCCGACGAGCACTTTCTACAACGGGGCCATTCTCTTCAAGGGCTTATCAAGCGCATTATCGCTGCATACCGTTTAGTCGCACGCACGCCCCCTTTGTCGTCCTTCTTAACCCTTCCCCAACAAACCAAAACGCAAAAAAAAGCAGCTCTAAAAGAAATGAGTTTGCCCACCTAGATTACTTTAAAGTGCATCGCCCCGGTGGCTTCATGATGCCGTGAAGGAGGGGCGTTCCAGACGGCCGCAGAAGCGCGCATCTGATAAGCGATGAACGCCGCCTTTGTTCGAGGGCTGAGCCAAAAGCCCCCCGCTGCTGCCGGAGTTCACGAGGATCAGCGAGGAATTGTGGCGGTTCATTTGCGGCGAGCGTAGACTTTGAGAAAGATATAAAGAGTTAACATCAGGTGAGAATGAGGCTCCTTTCAAAGGAAGTCGATAGCAGACAGCAGCGTTGCAAACTTGGTTCGAAGCTTTCGTGACTGCAGGAATGAATCTTTGGTTTTTTTTCGGTAAAGTCACGTATAAATAAGAAATAATAAAATAACATAATAGCGTACGACGTTTCGGTTGCAACACAAGCAGCCATCATCAGGTACAGAAGAGCTAAATTTACGAGAGAGAGAGGAAACACATAACCCCAGATGTATATACAGACACCCAAGTAGGGGGGAACTAACACAGACACAACAGGGGACACAGAGAGAGAAGCATTCCAGACAGACAGCGTTTAGCAGAATTTGGAAACCGACCGTCTGTGTTGCTTTATATAGTTTACAAATTCTGCTAAACCCTGTTTGTCTGGTATGCTTCTCTCTCTGTGTCCCCTGTTGTATCTGTGTTAGTCCCCCCTACTTGTGTGTCTGTATATACATCTGGGGTTATGTGTTTCCTCTCTCTCTCGTAAATTTAGCTCTTCTGTACCTGACGATGGCTGCTTGTGTTGCAACCGAAACGTCGTACGCTATTATGTTGTTATTTTATTATTTCTTAATTATACGTGACTTTACCGAAGGAACCGAAGATTAGCAGCGTTGCAGTTGCGGTGCCAATAGTTTATGTTGCCTGAAGAAAAAAACACAATAACTTCATCGGTACGTCTTCAGGTTCGGCTGCTCTACCCCTCGCTCACGTGTCATGCACGCCGAGAGATTCTGCACGCACAGCACGAAATATAATCGCGACTGCTTGATGCCGATCTTTGATCGTCATCACAACAAATCTATGCGAGTGTCAGCCACGCGCCAATCCACGTCGACCGCGTTTGTCGATGCCTGTTGGCGAAGGATATCGGTCGCTCGCTGATATTAACCGTGGCCAAGAATCAAAATTGGGTCTTCAGGCTCATACAGTAGTGCAGCGTGACGTCCAATGCCAATGCTCTGCCTGCCGATTTGTTTTGTTTTTATAGATATTGCTTTTAATCTTTCAGCATAGGCATTCTGTTATATTTATTGCCAATGGCAGCGATACGTTCAAGAGCTAAATGGCAAAGTGGAGGTCTGCTGGCCACGACGAGAGGGCTATTCATCCTCCGTTGAAGGAGTGCTGTGGTCCATAGTTTAGGTTGGATGGTCATAATCGCACCGCTGGGGTTCGTCGTTAATGTATCTCCAAAGGTGTCTCTCGATGCCAATGCCCAGGTCTACTGCTGGCCACAACGAGGACGCTTCAAGAAAGATGTTCCTCCTCCTTTTAAGGAGTGCGGACCTCAGCGGATTTACTGTGGTCCGTAGTTTAGCCACAGTTAAAATGGATCTCTATGGGTCTCAATTTGTATCTCTGAGTCTCTATGCGTCTCTGTATTCCTACGAGTCTCTATGCGTCTCCACATGTCTCCGCGGGTTTACTCTATGGTTCACAGTTTGTGTCGCATGGCTACAACTGCACCACTACTACTGTGGCCTGTGCCTTTAATTTTCCATTCAGGAAGGAGACGTGACCATCGGCCATGCCGATCCATCGATGCGTGCAGATGGGATAATTATGCAGTTCGTATTGAATAAAGGTGTTTTATTGTGACACACTCGAGGTGATGTGAACATCGGCCGTTTCCCGTGCTGTGGATGAGAATATATTCGCTGATCAATGACACAAATCCTTTTCCCAGGCCCCCAATTGTTCACAGATGCTGCTGTTTGTCATTCGGGAATTTCCCATAAATCCATTTACCTGGACTGAATTGCCATTCTGCAAGTCAATACCCACTCTTCTTCAAATTACGCATTTAATTTTTCTGCAACTCGGTGAAAAGGCCAGCTGCTTCCTCGCTCGCTTAATTTTTTTATCGTTTTATTTTATTATTATTATTTTTATTAACGGCAGCTTGCCGTTACCGTACACGGCCGCGTGGCTCAGCCACGGAGTGAGCGGCCGCGCAAGCGGAAGGCTTGCGTGCTCGCGTCCTGAATCGGGGGGTTGACAAAAACCATATTATTATTTGTTTGACCAGGTGTAAGGTCCCACATAATAAGCTCACGCAGCTCCTTTTCAGAAGCGACCCGGCCATCACGAATGACAGCTCAGCGAAGTGGCTTGTCAATCATCACGTGGGAATGTAGAGCGGGAAAAATCCACGCGACCACGGTGAGAGAGAGAGAGAGACGCACGCAAACTCCAAATATACAGCAGGCATCGTCAGGGTCGGGACCGAACCCACGACCTCCTGTATACCAGGCGAGGTAGTTAACATCTCACCACTGTGAGAGAGAGCGAGAGAGTGACACGCAAACTCCAAATGTACACAGCAGGCGTCGTCAGGGTCGGGACCGAACCCACGACCTCCTGTATACCAGGCGAGGTAGTTAACATCTCCTAGCCACCGTGATGATGATGAGAGAGAGAGAGACACGCAAACTCCAAATATACGGCAGGCGTCAGGGTCAGGATCAAACCCACGACTTCCTGCATACCAGGCGAGGGAGACAACATCTTGCTAGCGTGGTGCCCCTTTTGATTTGCTGTCACCACGTTGTTAATGACCGTGACATTGCCCGACAAATGATTATCGTTACAGTTCAACGCTTAAACCTTGACTCAGAGCTTTCGTGACTGCAGGAATTCATAGTCTTTGGGCCTCTCGGTAAAGTCACGTAGATGGGTTCAGAGGAAATGGCGATCGCTTGTGTTGTGATCGAAACGCCGTAGTTTTATTTGTCATTTTCTTTGGAACAAAGAAAATAGTTCAACGCTTGCCGAGTGATATCCGGAAATCCGTTCTCTTTTAAGGCAGCTGCACTTTTCCTTTGTTTTGTAGTTTGATATATACATACATAGGGTCCTTTATGCAAACTGCATCTCTCACAATCATTGAGGAATTACAGACGAGTGGGGAAGGCGGCAGCCAGGCGGTGAGCCGGCCCCACCAACGATTGTCCAAGCTCTGCAGTCCTGTGTAAGAAGATGTTTTCAGCCAATTACATGTGCGAAGGGACAACGCTCTATCCCATACAGAAGGGACAGCTGGGGATATGAATCCACACTTTTCCGTGTCGACTTCTGGCGAGTCATGGTATTGGTACCTCGTCAATGCCCGCAAGGAGTTTTCGCAACCCACCGACCCCCGCTGCCACCTCCACAGTGCTGGGTTATAGGCCACGCGCAGTAGCAATGCCACCGTCTGCCCGGCTAACATCATGATGTCACTTAAAACTTTCGTGACTGCGGGAATTCGTATTCTTCGGCTCTTTCGGTAAAAGTCACGTAGATAGTAAATAAAATTTATTGTAAAAAAATAAAAGAAAAAATATAATCACACACTGCTGAAAGCGATCAGATTGTTAAATCAATTAAAATTCCATATATCTCAGGAGTAACTGACAAATTAGTCTGTGTTTTGCAAAAGCAAAATATTACAGTAAGATTTGGTACAGTACACAAAATTCAAAAACTAGTATCTTGCACTAAAGACGAATTACCTAAATTATCAACAGAAGGTGTATATCGGATGAATTATTTTTGTGGCAGATGCTACATTGGACAGACAGGACGTAACATCAGATTATAATTAAAATAACACCAAAGAAATATTAAATATTTAATTATCTCTGCGTATTATTAAATAATACAAATTACAATTCCTTATAGGGGAACACATACTAATTAACGGATTACTAACGTAGCATATAATCACAATAACACACATTACAACTAATTACTAATCTACAACTCATTACTAATCATAACCATTGGCTGATTACCAATCGATTATATAATTACAATGCCCCCCCCCCCTCCTCTGCCTCAAATCACTGCACCTGAATGAGTTAAATGATGACGTCACCCTGCTGCTGCTCTATTTAAGACCGGGAGCAAGTGGAGAGGGCTTTACCATTCTGGCGAATTGCCCGATGATGCTGGATGTATTTACCAGCGAAACGTCACAGTACTCAAACTGTAAATGTTGTGGATTCACTCATCAACACACCGGTGGGCTAAAGTAGTGAACTATTTTGTCTTTTGTCAACGTGACACTTTTTTTGCTGATTGGCCGTGTCGGGTGGTGGAAGGTTACGACACATTTATAAATAACGCGATCTAACCCAAAAACCTTTATTATGAAACTAAAAGTAAAAAAATTAAAATAAAAAAATATAAACTCCCGACGATTCGATCGCAACACAAGCGATCGAAACGTCGTTTTAGTTTTTTGCGATTAGATTTTTTTTATTAACTTTATTTTCTATCTACGTGACTTTACCGAAAGAACCAAAGAATATCAAAATGTCACGTGTTCTCTGCTTGTCCACCGTACGTTTGCTAGCCATTTACAAACGAGCGTAGAATGGGGAATACAAATTAAAATCAACGTTTTCTTACCATCGTGGTCTCAGCAATGGAGCCGAAGCTGTTGATGAAAATATTGCACGTCACGTTGACAGGATCGCCTGCGGAGAAAGGAAAAATAGAGACGCACGGTCACGGGAAAATATATCTTTTGACGGAATAACTTCGCCGTAACGTTCCATCACGAGCGAGTGGCAAAATTAATCAACAGCGAGTCACCGCTTTTACAAAATTACTTCGCATCGATCCTTGAGCGTCCCGCGGACGACGGATGCATTTTTAGTTTGCGCGTGCGTGTGTGTGTGCGTGCGAGAGAGACTGACACGACCGTGTGCTACGCCCCTGCTGCTTGACTGCGGCCTGGGAGCCCCAGACTCGCAAAGGCCGACTGGATAATATTAGCTCGTCCTCCACGTGCGCCGACACTCAAAGGCAATAAAGGCGCCTGCAGTGGCGAGATGTTAACTACGTCGCCTGGCATGCAGGAGGTCGTGGCTTCGACCACCCGACCCTGACAACGCCTGCTGCGTACATTTGAATCATTTGGCGGTAACCGACGGGGGTCCCGCAAAAATCCAGTCAATTATTATTATTATTTTTCTTCAGTCCGCCCCGCTCGTGACCCCCGACAGCAACGCGCCGCCCGCCCAGACTCGCTGTGCCAACAAGCGCCAGCAGCAGCAGCAGCAGCAGTCGGTGATCGACACGACGGGCGCCACCCCCACCGGCCAAACGCGAGCCCCGGGGGGGCGTCTGCCGCGGTCGCGCACGGCGGCGACGACGACGCCCCTCCGGTCAGCCGTCGACCCTCGGCCTCTTTGCCAAGGCGAGCCCCACCGCCGCCCCGCCAGGCGGTGAATTGAACGTGTTTGTGTAATTTTTCAACTTTTTACGAAACCTAGTTGCCCCGAGTAGCTCTCGACGAGGCCAATCGATTGACCGCTAGTTTTGTTGTTGTTGTCGGTAAGGCTACGAGACTCGTGTCGCTACGCGGTGTTTCCCACCCCCGGGGACAGTGACTGGACCCCGGGGTCCCGCCAATTGCTTCATTTGGAGTTTGCGTGTTTCTCTCCCCGTGATCGCGTGGCATTTTCTCCGGATCCTCCGATTTTTTGGTTTTCTCCCACAGTTTTATAGAGAGGCGTTTGGAGTATTTGACTGCTTGCTATTCATTTCCGCGCAATGAGCCGCTTAGTTGAGCTGTCATTCGTTGGCCAGGTCGCTTCTGCGAAGGAGCTGTACAGCTCAGTGGGGCCTCACCTTGTAAAATTAATTTTAAAAAAAACTATATCCTTAGCTCTTTCGGTAAAGTCACGTTGAAGGGAAACAATAAAATAATAAAATATATATAAAACAATAAAAAAATTCTCACGACGTTTCGACCGTAACACAAACGGTCGTCATCAGGTGTGAAAAACCAACGGCAAGAAACATTTGAAAGAAGTGGCGGTTTGTATTTATTTATTTTTAAACGTTGTTTTTATTTATTTAAAAAAACTTTAGCACCACGGACAGCGATTTGGCAGTTTATTTAGAAGGACTAGTCCATCTATGTTCTGAAAAGAGGAGGGGGGAGACGAAAAATTAATGTATGCTGTCTGAAAGCCACCGTAAGCGTGAACAATCAATTAACACCCGAAATGGTTTATCAAATCCTTCCAATGATTGCTAAGCCAGAATCCATCTTCTCGGTTGAAATTGTCTCCGTGCTTGTATATGTGGATAACCTCATTTTTATATATATATTTTATTAATTATTGTTTCCCTTCGACGTGACTTCACCGAAAGAGCTAAGAATATGAATGACTGCAGTCACGAAAGCTTAAAAATCAAAATATTAAAAAAAAACTGTTCATAGTTTACGCGACGGCAGACTCCCTCCGACTCTGCGACGGACGGGTTCTGCGGCTGAGCCATGCGCGTGTCGCAACTGGCTCCAGGGTGCGTGCCGTGCGCAAGCCTCCATCGCGCTGTCCAAGCTGCGCAAAGAACTGCATTGTGGGCCGAGTTTATGAAACACCGCAATCGGGATTGGATCGGGTGGTTACCCCCAACCCCTCGCCACTGGAAGCAAATCCAGACGATTTAATTTAAGAGGATTTCCCCTTTCGGTAAAGCGATATTGAAACCCACGCCGGTTAATTGCCCGAAATAGGAGAATGAGCAATCTTGAATATTACAGGTCGGAGGGTTCAATTAAATTAGATATTCACATCAAAGTGCAGTGACGTCATCGGCAAGGTGCGCGTGCACCACATTAAACGTTTGATAAACTGCACGACCTCCATAGAGGTCACACCTTCAAATCTGGGAAGTCCGCTCGGGTTAATCCAATTTTTACTTCTCTCACTATTGTTTAAATGCCCCCACTTCAATCGCCCATGCCCTTACCGTGACATTGACTACCACCATTGAATTAAACAACTAAAAACTAATAAAATATATATATTTTTTTATTTTGCCACGTAAGGCCCACACCGCGCCATGTGTAGCTCTTTTTCAGAAGCGACCTGGCTATCGCAAATGATAGCTTCAACAAAGTGGCTTATCGTCACGTGGAAACGTACCGCGGGCCAAACAAAAGATCTTCACGCGCGATGCTGACTTCTAAATGTGGAAGGGGACAAAAAAACAAAAAAACGGAGGACCGGGACCAAAAAATCCACGTGAACCACGGGGGGAGAGAGAGAGAGAGAGAGGAGAGAGAGACACGCAAACTCCAAATATAGAGCGGACGCCAGGGTTGGGATCAAATCCACGACTTCCCGCATACCAAGCGAGGGAGTTAACATCTGCTCGCCACAGTGGCACCCCACTCTTTCGAATTGTGAAGGAGCAGTCCATCAGCAGCTAGTGCTGTAATTTAATTAGGGGGTGGGGGAAAGTAGATTTATTTTTTCTGGTGAAAGTTAAACCACCGTCATGCCATCTGGCCGCTCCATCGCTTTGTCCTCTGAAGGGGACATTCGTCCAAATTGTCCCGACCACGGCAAACAGAAGCAAGGTAACTGCGCCGTTGCGGGCACTTCGACAATGAACAGGCCAACGATAGGGGGGGGGGAAAAAACGACGATGAAGATATCAGCTCACAGGATAGTGTTGTCGGATTACGTTTGATAAATGCCCTTGTCCGTTTACACGTTTGTACAATGGTCTGTTCGGTGTTTTGCTCTCTCACATAGTTAGTAATTGCATTGTGATCGGGTTTTAGTGATATAATCTGCACCGAGCAGACTCGCTGCTGCAGGGAGTTCATTTGGCGCGGGTTTGTGCTTGCGCAGAATTTTCGATTTCTCACTCGAACCGCCAGTTGCTTTTGTGCCGATTCCTCTTTGACGTCATTCACCGCACTTGTACATTTTGTTCGCTTTGTTTGCCTTTTCGTCGTTGTATCGGTGACCCCCCCCCCTGGGTCAAATCTGGCAAATGGGAGACCCTATCCTGCTGCCCTGAGTTCTCACCCGGTTCTGGTTACACCAAATCGTCCCACGACTCGACTGGGACTAAAGCCAGGTCACAAACGTCCGCCTGGTCAAACATCCAATGGGGCAAATGCTTATTCCCCGTATTGGTACTCTGGTTCTTTCGGTAAAGTCACGTAGATGGGAGCATTAATATAATAGATCACGACGTTTCGATCGCAACAACAAGCAATCGTCTTCAGGTGAGAGAGAGAGAGAAGCATGCCGCCTCTACGGGGGAGGATTTCCGCACAACTCAGACGTAACTTCAACCAAGAAGATTGATGCAAATTTTTTTCCAATATTTGGAAGTCCGCTGATCAGCCAGGTAAAGTGTTAACTGTTGTGTTAGCCGACCCTCTCTGGGTTGCATTACAGTTCTACATTTTGTTCAGTTTGATATCTAAGCTTCCATTCCTTTTTTGTTAATCTCTCTCACCCAAAGCCCTCTTTGAATTTCACCCCCACCCTCTCGCCCGTCTCGGCCTCCCCTCCGTCCCCCCTCTCGGATCTATATAACGCCTCGTCACAACGGCATGCTTCTCTCTCTCTCACCTGAAGACGATTGCTTGTTGTTTGCGATCAATACGTCGTGATCTATTATTAATTTTCCTACCCACGTGACTTTACCGAAAGAACCAAAGAGTATGAATTCCTGCAGTCACGAAAGCTTCAAATCAAGATTTAACCCCTTTTTGGTGGCCCAATTGTTTTTTGACATCTCGGGTTGCTGAGCATAAGGCCCAAAAATGCCCAAAGTGGCTCGCAACAGGCAACACGGCCTGCAGTCCACAGTAAAGGTTTTTTTTGTTGGGTTAAATCGCGTTCAGTATAAATGTGTCGTTTAACCCGGGCGAAGCGTCACGGTACTCAAACTGTAAACGTTTTGGGGTTTTATTCTCCAGCACACCGGTTGTGTCGCTGCACTAGTAACTAATTGGCGCGTTTTGTTCACGTGATAAACCTTACTAATTGGCTGTGTCGGGTGGTGGCAGGGTTAACGACGCATTTATATTTTACTCGATCTAACCGAAAAAAAACCCTCTATTATAGATAATGTTGGTCAGGAAAGCCGTTCACTGCTACGTGTTAAACTACTGACAGTGAAATAGATTAAGAGTTAACGCATTTCTTGAAATTGAGTAAGGTTGTGAGAACACGTTGAGAGTGGCTTCCAAAGCCAAGCAGTGCTGGGGAACAAGCAGTAAAAAGTGAAGTGACCTGCAGTTTGGCGAGTGGGCGAATTGGTGGGTGAGCAAGTGGGCGAGTGGGGATGAGCGGTGGTGTAACGGTTAGCGCACTGCGCTACAAACCCAGCGAACCGAGTTCCATTCCCACTCACGGCCAAAACCAGCGACGATTATCTGAACCGGTCGTGGGGCCTCGTCCAAGGTCGACTCAGCCTCAAATGTGTGTCTGGTGTGGTGTGTAAACATCGCCACTAGGGAGGCAAAGGTGGCCGGGCGTGGTTGCTGGTCACCCACCCCCTCGTGTGCCGTGCCGGGCTTCATAGGTGCTGCTCGCTAACAGCACTTGCCCCAACAGCCTTTTGAGGCTACACGGGGGGGTCTTTGTCTTCGAGTGTTGGAGCAACCTGCAGTGTGGTTGTTGAACGCGCCAAAGATGAGATGAAATCGTCT